AAAAATATTGGACATATAAAATTTTATATGTCCAATCATTTTCAAAATCATTGGACATATGTCCAATGCCAACACTGGATGGGCCGATAAAACCGCCCTAACGTAACCAATTTAAAAAATTTCACTAGTCACGTGTAACTAAGGCCACACAAACTTATATTTTTGGTTTTCTCCCTCATGACCCGCCAACCTGGATTTTAATTTTTTTTTTAAATAAAAAATTTTTATTTATAAAATTTTCAAGAATTAGAGCGAAGATATCATGATAGCTACCTATTAAAATTTAATAATTTTTTTAAAAATTAATTATAAACATTTCTAACATCAGAATAAAAAATTTTCGCTGATTTTGATCAGATAATTGTTGAGATATCTTCGCTCAAAATTAGTAAATAATTCAAAAAGTCTTTAAAAAGTAGCTGCGCCAATTTTTTTTCTGAAACTTTGAGTGAAGATATCTCGATAACCATCTGATCAAATTTGATGAAAATTTTTGTTTGAAATCTACAGTCTGTAGAATTCAAATAAAATTTTTTTTATCAAATTTGGTCAGGTGGTTGTCGAGATATCTTCGCTCAAAATTAGTAAACAATTTAAAACGCCTATCAAAATAGAAGCTGTGCCAAATTTTTTTTAAACTTTGAGCGAAGATATTTCGACAACCACTCGATCAAATTCTAGAAAATTTTTTTGTTTGAATTCTACGATCTGTAGAATTCAAACAAAAGAATGTTCATCAAATTCGATTGAGTAATATACCGTAGACAGGTCAATTAAAAAAAAAATAATCTAATGCTTAGAATAAAATTAAGACTATAAAAACATTTAATTTGATAAAAATTAAACAGTCATTCTTAGCTTACTTTTTGGTTATTTTATTTTATATAGTATATCTCTGTACTCGCTGCATTTGTATGATAAAAGGACAAGATAATTAAAAAAATCATTCCATCACGGATCTCCGAAAAATCTAATCCTATTCAGCCACTATGGCGCACCAACCTGGTACACATTTTTTAGATGCTTTTCGATATACTATGTAAATCAAAACTATGTGTGGTACCATATCAAAATAAATTATTGAAGTCAGAATAGATGATAGGACTATTAATTAACTATTAATCACATTTTATATAAATTTCAATAGTAAAGAATGACTTAGATGTCTAGAATTAATTTCTTTTCTTTTTTTAATTATTTTAACATAAATCTATTCTTACACATGTTTATAATAGTGTTACGTTCCGAGATCTTATATTTTAGTATTAACATTTATTTACTTACAACGAAAATATCGCTTTTTTGACTTTTTTGTAAGGAGTAAACTCAAAATTTAAATATTAACATAAAAACCGCGACGGAATATTTTTTAAATGTGTTGAAAAATTTATGTTAAAACAATTAAAAAAAGAAAAGCAATTAGCTCTAAACATCTAAAAATTCTTTACTACAAGTGACTCTTGATATTAGAAAGTCGCCGGGTCCAGACAAATTATATCGAGAGTCACTTGTGATTAATAGTTAATTAATAATCCGAAAAATCTATCGAATACCCCATTACATCATGTGCAACATGTGTAACTGTTGGTGTATCGTAATACAGTCAGGTGCCTCGTGCAAAAGAAAAAAATCCTGAAATTGCATCTAAAATAAAATTTTCTTTAAGCAATTTTACTATTTATTGCAAAGTACAAACCAAATCCTAAAGCTAATCTTACTTTAATGAAACTTCAATATCAGTTATCATAACTTTCGTTTTGCCTATCATCATAATCTGATAACCAAACATGGATCTTAGTTTGACAGTCGATACGACGTAGTCTCTAATGCTGTAATAAGGAATTAGTGTAACACAGGTCGCGCAGCTTACCGATATATAGACCCTTTTTCATCGAAGCTGCGCATTAATTTTTAGAGAACCAACAAATAGCACAACCTTACGCAGGTACCTAACATTGGCGTAGTATTGTCACGATTACTTTTAATCAGTAATATATATTTAATATTCTTTTTATCATGTAAGAAAAACAATCCTATACGTAATTATAGTGTACAGGCGGAATGGTAACTCCGAAAAATTAAATATTAATAAAAAAGCTAGACATTATTTCTAAACGGTAACTAAAAAAAAAAAAAAAAAAGGAAATCATAAATGGATTGTATGTTTTTATCAAATAGTATTTTAAATTATTTATAAATGTTTAAGTCTTAAACAAGCTTAAATGTATATTTTGCAGATGAAGCTGTTGCGAAAAAGATCATGCCGGATCTTAACCATAAGATTAAAGATTTCCAATATCATACATGGCATATCACTGATTGGAAAAATTTAGAAAATAGGGTATTTGGTCCTGAATTTAAGGCTGGCGGCTGGAATTGGTGGGCTTCATGTATATGCATTATCTTAAAATTATATTTATACTTATAAATATGCAATGGCTAACTTATTAAATATGATTTTTAGGCGCCTTTTACTTTTTCCTTATGGAAATTTTAACTATTATAATAAGGACCACGTTGGTATTTATTTAGACTTTGTTAATCCAAAAGACGGGTTGCACGCTTCTGCGCAGTTTGCTTTAGTCTTATGGAATCAAGAAGAACCAACGAAATTTGTTAGTCATAGTACGAATGTTATAATAATAGAAATTTTAATTTTTCCATAATTATTTCAAAAATAACAGATTACTAAATTATTGTTTAAATGCTTGTAGATTCGTATCATTTTTTTGCTATTGGAGATAGAGATTGGGGTTTTACCGAGTTTTACGAGAAAGATAAACTATTTATCCCATCAGATAAACTAACTCGTCCACTAATTGAAAATGACTCTTGTAATATTACGGCTCTGGTTCGTGTTTTTGAAGATCCTAAATATATAGGTTTAAAATATTATGGAATAAATACTTTCATAAACTCGGTGTTGCAATTACTTTACCATATAAAAAGTTTCCGTAAGGTTTGTTCTTAATTTAAAAAAATTCTTTTCATTTATTCATGTCTGATAAATATGATAATATTTACTTTCAATTATAGGCTGTATATCAAATTCCTATAGAATGTGATAAACCAGCAAAAAGTATCACTTCAGCTTTACAGCGGATTTTTTATCAATTAAATGTTTCAGACACAGTAGTTGAAACAACGGAATTAACAAAATTTTTTGGATGGAATACGTTTATCATGGATGATGTTCGAGAGTTCATTAAAGTACTGCAAGACGATCTTGAAGATAAAATGAAGGTAATTCTTATATTATAATGCATAACGTTATTTGATATAATATTTATACATTTACTTTTATCTGGATCTAGAATACAAAAGCTGATGGTATAATTAATAAACTCTTTGTTGGTACTATAAAAACTTATATTAAATGTGACAATGTGGATTATGAGTATCTATATATTGAAGATTACTATGGTAAAAGCAAAATATTATCATATATTGACTAGCAATTCTATCTACGTGTATATAGTAATAATGTATATTTCTGATAGATATTCAGTTTAGTGTTAAAGAAAGTGAATCTATACATGATTCATTTACAAGATTTACACGAGAAGAAAGTCTGGAAGGAGATAATAAATATGATGCAGAACGTTATGGCTTGCAAGTAAATTTTTCATTTATTTACTCTATTTAAAATAATAAATATCTCTAGTGTACAGCGTATAACATGATTATATATATTTTGCAGGTTGCTAAAAAAAGAGTAACTTTTGAAAGTTTTCCACCTGTATTGCGCATATATTTAGAATATAATGCAAGTGATGTGAAGGTTAGAGCTTGCATATTTATTATATTAAAAATTTTCAATATCCTTTTACTAATACTAATTTTTTGTTACAGTCAAAACGTCAATACGAATTTCCCGTAGAAATTGATTTAGAAAAATATTTATCACCAGATAAACCAAGATCGGACAAATATCGATATTTACTACATGGGTTCGTGCAAATTAATTCTATGATAATTATTCAGTTTATATGAGTTTTATTCCTTATACGATTTTATTGTATGTTAGAGCACTAGTTCATGATAATGCAACAAATAAATATTATTCATATATAAGGCCTGAATTAAATCAAGGATGGTTAGTTAAATCTATGTTTCCATTTAAATTTATACACATAATATTAATGGAATTTAAAACAATAGGATAAAGTTTAATAATAATCGAGTTACTCCAGAATCGATTAGCGAAGTAATTCAGCCATATATGTTAGTGTATATTCGTGAATGTTATGTCGATGAATTATTGTCTCCAATACTTCCTAAAGACATACCGAAATGTAAGTTTACTATTATGAAAATATATTATTTAGTAGGTAGAGAGAAGTTGGATTCAATGTTCAGTTTTGAAATTTTTAATTCGAATTTTGATATTTGATTCGAATTATTCGGTCGGTCTAAATTGCTAAGTCTGTTTAAAAAAATTATTATATATTGGCTTTTGGATTGTAAATTCAATATTAAGTTATTTTCGGAATTTTCTCAAAAAAACTTGGTTTGATCTTACTCATATTTTACGCTCATTCATTTTCTTAAAATTTTTCGAATCTACTATCTTAAATATTCTTTTTTAGAATCTACTATCTTAAATACTCTTTTTTAGAATTTACCTAATTTGAATCCAACCTCTTTACTGTTTAACTTAGTAACAAGCTATCTATTTTGACAATGTTCTATTTTATAGATGAAGAAAATAGCGATTTGTATATGCAAACATGGGTAATTTTGATCATTCATCACTAAATTTATGATTTATGAATACAGTAATTTTTATTAATGAATTATTTAGGTTGTGACCGAAGAGACATTTAAAAGCCACAGAGGATTAGGCCTTGTTGATTTCAATAATGAACAATATCCATTTTCTGAAGGTTTTAAATTTAAATTTTTAAAAGAAAGCACTTACGATGATTTTAAAAAGATGGTCTCTGTAAAATTTGAAATTCCCATTGAACAAATAAAGTTCTGGGTAATTAAAAATCGACGAAATAAATCTATTAGACTACATAAACCTGTAATTGACAATGATTTTCTTGGAAAATGTGAGTTATATAAATTACATAATTCCTATTATTGTTGTAGTTTTTCTATAATTTTATTTAATTTTTATTAGCAATGGAGGAAGTGAAAACGGAATTAACAATACTAGATGACGAATTGATATTATATATGGAAATATTGGAAATCCCAATTAATATCAATGTAATATTAACTTTTATAAGCTATTATTTAATCTCCACTAGAAAAACTCGTATCTTATTTCCTATTTTAATATAGGATAATTTTTTACCTACTAAATCTTTAAAGACTAATGAGATTATCATCTTTCTTAAATATTTTAATACGGATACACAATCTTTAGAGTATGTAAATTTAAATATATTGTTGATTAACAAAACATACTGATAGAAAAGATTCCATTTTACTGATTAATATTTTAGTTAAATAAAATAACATGTTATCAACAAATATAACGTATTTATTATATTTTCTAAACTATTCATCAGTAGGAAAGCAAACCTTTCTACCAGTGATGTACGTTATTAAAATTAATTCAATCTTTATTCATATGAGCAGAGGCCTTGGTCACTTATGCGTTCAGATACATAGTAGAATAGATAGTATCTTTCCTATTCTTTGTAAGAAGATGAAATTCTCACCTAAAACGCTTTTTGATATATATGAAGTGAGTTAATTTTATTAGCTTATTTTTAATTTGTATCTTTTAAAATATTTATATATAATCATTTGCTAAAAATTCAGGAATATGCACCAGATATGATTAATAAGTTGATATCAAGATATACTTTTAGAATGTCTGGGATGCAAAATGGTGATATAATATGTTTTCAAAAAACATTAACAAAAAGAGAGTATGTTATGTTATTATCACTTAAATCTTATAATTGTAGATTAAGAAAATTTTACATTATGTAGGATTCAGAAGTTTATTTTTACAGGCCACATCTATAATATTCTTCAATTTTATGAATCATTATCAATGAATATTATCGTTCAGTTCAAATCAAAATTCGGATATAGGGATCCGATACCTGAATTTAACTTAGTTTTAAATAAGGATAGCACTTTTAAAACTGTACGTTCGATTATTTAAATCATTATTTCCCTTATTACATTATGATTTATTTTGCTAAATCTTATGTTTTTACTTCTACACATATACATAGGTTGCTAAACAAGTCGCTATTTATCTTAATACCGATCCTTTGAGGTTGCGTTTTACTTCAGTAGATTTATACGGAAAACCAAAAATAGAGATTGACGGAACGATTAATCAAAAATTATCAGAGATACTACAACCTGCAATGTGTTTGTATTACGAGATAGTTGACGTTAATATATAAATTTAGATAATTCGAATAGCATGCCATGGAAACAAATTATTTTCTATAAAGCTTATAATCTTAGATATCTAATTTTATGTTTAGTTAATATGAATCCACTAATATAAGCCTTGCGATATTGGCTCACAAGCCTAGTTCAAAAATATTGTTTAAAATGCTTTTTATATTATGTGTTGACTAGTAGGTCCAATGGTAATTATTGGTAGATTTCTGGAACTAACCGAATAGACTGGAAGTTATAATGGTTTCAGTGATAAGTTTCACCAGACTCTTAAATCAATTTCTTTACTACTGGATGCAAGTTGTAGTGAAGTTTTTATAATTAAAATTTTAAAGAAATTTTGCATTAACACTACACTTGGATATTCGTCACTCTACCTATTAAACTGTAGTTATAAATAATTATTTTAATTCAAATATATCAATAAACTATAATTATTTAATCATATATAATTTACAGTAGCACCACAATTATCGAAATTGAATTGACAATAATCACCAAATATTACTAACACAGATTATAAAAATGTTAAAATTTGATAGAATTTTAGAAATTATTTTATTAATAAGTCTTGCTAACTAACCTTTGATGTAATGAAAAACTTTATTATTTAGGAAATATTTGGTTTCACAAATTTCGGGCAATTATAATGCGCCGACTTAATATCAATATTTTTATCTGTACCAGTCTGATGTAATATTTTAGCAAAAAAAAGTAACTGCAACAGATTAATATTATATCTAAAGTATAGGTGCAGACTTATTTACATAATTGTAATTAATTAACGACAGTAGTAACTATTTTTTCTTGTTA